TTTCCCTAACAGGAGCATCACAAATTCTCAGGGACAGCAGCCTTTGGCTTTCAGTTCCGTCAAACTGTTTCTGAGGGAGGAAGGGAGGGAAACATCTAAAGAATTAATTGCACTGTTAAGTTCGGGGTAGAAACAATGGGAGTTAATTATAGATGCTTTTTTACAATCCGATCATTCAAAGGGAACCCTCCAGGCACCTTTTATTCTCTTCTGTTTCTCCCCCTTTAGCTCCGAGAGCTCTGGCAGAGTGGGTGGTTTCCCTGATTCTAAAAAATGATGAATTTACCACCGATAATCCCCAGGTTGGGGTAACTAGCAATTTGTCTACTCTGAGATTCCTAGTTAGAGCAGGGATGCTTGCTCGGAAGGTGAGCCCAGGCATTCATAGATGGGAAGGAAGAAACACTGGTTCTGAATTCTCCATTTAAATAGAAAGAGCCTCGACTTGACATTTAAACTCCCCAGGGCTTTGGTGGTAGCAGTATGTTTAAAATCCATTCCTTCTTTTGATAGATACATATTTAGTGCCTGTTAAGTATAAGCCTCTGCAAGACCCTGGATGTGCATGGCTGCTTCATCCAGACTTGGTCCTTCCTTTGTGGATTTATGAACCTCTAAAATCCCTTCTAGCTCAATACCTGGTGATTTATTAGTGATTCGTTCTCTCTCTCTCTCTCTCTCCCCCCTCCCTCTCTCCCTCTCTCTCTCTCTCTCACACACACACACACGCACGCACACACACGCTTACACACACATGCACACACACACGAACGTAAGCCCCGTGACAGCCATTTCTCTGTGTTTCCATTCCTATAACAATGCCTGGCACATAGCTAGGCACTCAACAAACACTTGATGAATGAACAAATGAGTGAAGGAATGAATGATCATCTTTTGGGGCAATGCTTGGCAAACCAAGGTTCTCAAGACCAGGATCACTTAATCAAGTAACAAACTAATAAAACTAACCATGTTAGCTCATGACCAGTTGGTCTGGAGTGACTTAGGAAAGGGATCAATATGGCACCTACACTTGCACTTTGAGTATCCCTGAAGCCATCAAAGATTAGGAGAGAAAGTTCCCTCCTATTAAATTTCATGGATCATGGTTCTTGCCCAAAAGTCCCAGCGTGGCATCCTCCCTCCTTTCTGCATTTCCCATTTTCCTCTCCATCCTCTCCCCTCCAGAGCCGTCAAGTTCTCAGCCAAACTGATGGGACAGGCCATGGCCAAGAGGGTCAAGGCTACCATCCTGTACGCCACAGAGACAGGCAAATCGCAGGCTTATGCCAAAACCCTGTGTGAGATCTTCAAACATGCCTTTGACGCCAAGGTGGGTAGGGGACAGTGCCAGCTCTCTGACCCTTCATGGTAAAGTTGGGGAGGGGAGAGAAGGAATTCAGCAAAGAAGAATCCTTTGAGAATGGGTGATAGCACATCTGAAGATGCCCATCAACTCACTCACTCACATTTGCATATATTTCAGGGGACTCTGATGCTTCTCTCCCTGGGAACCCTCCAGGAGTCCGGGAATCATAACCCCCATCCCAAGGGCAAAATATTAGAAAGCTTATGAAAGACAATTCTGGAGTCAGTTTGGGAAGCTCTGCCTTTAATACAATTCAGTGGGTTTCTTTGCTGCAGGAATTCTCAGAGCCTTTAATCTGCACGTACGTGTTATCATTCCCAAAAGAGGAGAGGAGAGAATATAAATGTTTCCCAAAGATGTTTGCTTATGGATCACTTACTTTTAAAGAGCATCTCAGGAGACTAGGCTTCCCTAGAACCTACTTTGAGAAATGTTGCTCCAGTAATGCTAAGATATAGGGCAAAACAGTCTTTCCCT